TGCATATAATACTCTTCAAACCAACATCATCTTAAGTGTCCCCAATACCTCACAAATAAATAATTTAAACTCGCTGAATATAGATAGGATTTTTTTCCTATAGATTCATTCACTTTAATATCTTTCTAGTTAATTTATAGATAAGAATTTCTTTAGCTTATTAGGATAAATAAAAAATTACCATATCCAGGTCAGAATGAATAAGGAGTATACTCTAAAAATAACCTGGCACCTGGCGTCATCCTTATACCCTGTGGCTAGAGGACTTGTCAACAAGTAGATAACCAGACCGATACTATTTTTGCCTGTTCCTCTTTTTATGAGAAATCTTTGAGGTGCTAATGAGAGCCAAATGGCCACAGGGTTAGACAGGGTAAGGGAGGAGAAACAGCAAGAGGAATATATGGAAAAGCTAAGTTATTGCAGAAACCAAATATATCCAACTTTTCCTCCCTAGCTAGCCTTTCATTTATTTATAAACAAGCCACTGAACATATTTCTTGTACTCCAGACTTTGAGAAAATGATGCTATAAATATGAATATGAGAGTACTTTGCTTCCTGCTCATCGAATATATTGAATGAAATGCAATGCAAATCTATATCCAGATCACCAAATATGCACTTTTTTAACAAAGAAATCTTACTCAACTAAGATGTATAAGTTAATCTTAGTTTTGTTCAATCCTGTAAAGCCTGTTGTTATTGGAGAGAAAACAGTACTTTGTTCAACAAATGTTTATTGAAGATACATTTATGTGCCAACATGGAGCTATGAACTTAGGACATCAATGGTAAATAAAACGGATATGGTCCCTAACTTTATAGAGTTTCCTTTCTAGTTGGCAAGTCATAGTTAATCAAATAGTCAACAAACAAATGGAAAATTAAAATAATGACAACAGCTAAAATGTGAAATAATGGTGCTAAAAGTGTCTATTTTAAGAAACTTCAGCCTAGTCAGAGAGGTCAGGGGAAGCTTCTTTGAAGAAATAATGCTTGAGTTGAAATCTGGCAGATAGATGGGAAACCAAGAGGAGATGGGAGGCATTTTTGGGTGAAGGAATACCTTGTTAAAATATAGTACATTAGGAGAAGGAGCTTGACAAGTAGAGATTCAAGGAATGGAAAAATGGATGGGAAGAATAAGTTTTAATCACACTGCAATTCCTTTTAGGTTTAACTCCATAGGGAAAGGAACCATATCTCCCTTATTCATATGTTTCCTAGTATTCACTTCTTTCCTAGTAACCAGGATATTATATAAACTCATTTTTCCCCCTTTTTCTTCATGATTCCTAGCTACATATAAACCAGCACACAGATCTTCACCACATATTCCTGACTCTCTTTCTGATTAATATGTTAACACTTCAAGGCAAGTATTATATAAAATGGCATCTTTGTGTCATCCAGTGTTTAGCATAACACATTAACAGTAGCCACTTAATCCATGGATTTAAATTTCAGAAAGACAGTGTTCATTATAGAGTTGTTTGTTTTCCTTTACTTCTTTTTCTCTTTTTAAAAATATCTGTATGTAAATATTTTTGTGGCTATTATAAACCACTCTTAAGCATTGCTTCTTTTTCTCTTCCTGAGTTGAAAAGATTATATTATCATACTTTACATGACAATCTACATCAAAGTTAACATGGTTCAAAACTTGTGATGTTAGTTTTGTGTGTCAACACAGCTAGGCTACATCCCTAGTTATTCAATTAAACACTAATATAGGTGTTGCTGTAAAGGTATTTTAGAGATCCGCAACTAGTTGACTTTAACTAAAGGAGATTATTATCCTAAAAGGTCTGGGTGGGTTAGGGTCAATCAACTGAAAGGCCTTAGAACAGAACTGAGGTTTCTCTAAGGAAGAAGAAATGCTGCCCCTGGCCTACAGCTTAAGCTCTTGCCTGAGAGTTTCCAGCCTGCCCAAGGATTTCAAATTTGCCTAGCCAACCCCCATAGTCTCATAAATCTATTTTTATACAGTATATCTAAATTTCTATCTATCTATCTATCTATCTATCTATCATCTATCCATCCATCAATCCATCCATCCATCCATCCATCCATCCATCCATCCATCCATCCATCCATCCATCTATCTTCCTATACACACACACTACAGGTTGTTTCTATCATGTAACTATGATGGAGAAACAGCTGTGTCCTATTACAGATCACTTTTTAGAGTCAGCTGATAAAGAATAATTAGTGTACACAGTTTCTTACAAAGAAATAATTCTAATGCTTTTTTTTATTGTTAGTTTCAGGTGTACAGAACAATGCAATAGTTACCCTTTTCATTTTAAATGAGAAGGAAAGTATCCGTGAAATTTTATAGATGAAAATAAAACCCAAGACACATCTCATTGTCTATATAAACATGACTTTACTATTCCACTGTCTTCAATGTCATAACTTTACCATTCTAAGAAACTATTGTCCAGTAAGACAAGTGGTGCAGATAATATTATTGTTCATTTTAGAAACTTTCTGAATAAACCACCAACTCTTCAGCAAAAAAGCATCAAATGACAATTTTTACCTCAAGACACTTTGAACTACTTTCCCTCAAAATCTTATTTCTGTATCTAACAATTAAAAACAATAGTTTAGTGATTACCAGAGGGTAAGGGGGAAGAGGGGTGGTAGATGAGGGTAAACAGGATCAAATATATGGTGATGGTAGGGGACCTGACTCTGGGTGGTGAACACAATGTGATATACAGATGATGTATTACAGAATTGTACACTTGAAACCTATGTAACATTTCTAACATTGTCACCCCGATAAACTTTAATTTAAAAAAATCATTATATAATGATCCTTAGCATAAAAATTTGCTCCTCTCAGAAGTTGCCAGGCTACATGCACTCCTCCGCTACATTTCTATGGCTTCTATTCTGTTTATTCTTCACTGGGCTCATTTATACTCTGAATACTGCAGACAATCAAATCATTCAAATTCCAGTCTACTGGACCAGCATGTCTTCTACTACTACTCCTTACGGTTTCTATTATTAAAGGCCAGGTGCTCTCCTTGTAAGTTTCCCTCATTCAATTCTCATGAAAACTAAATTTTGTCTTGACTTTACAGATGAGAAACACAAGTATCACAAGCTAACAGTATCTTGCACAAGGTCACTAAGTTAAATTTACTTAATGGAATCTAAAATGATTTAGTTCACATACCTTTTAAGAAAAGGGACAGTGTCAATTTTTTATCAATAGGCCTACTACAAAAATCTGATACTCAAAAATCTGTTCATTGAATAAAGTTATGACTGAAAAGCCATATTTACCAATACTAATTTAAGGTATAGTTTGTAATGAGATTCTGAGTTATTTCTGGTAAAATAGTGTATCATGCACAAATTAAAAATAAAAATTGTAATTAAAATAAAAAATTCATTTAAAAGTAACATTCAAATATAATAATCACTGACATGGAGTAGACAACAATATTTGTTATTAAATATTGAATCATCCATACACACTTAAAGCTATCATTTGGTACATAACTCCTGAGGGGCCAACTTTGAAGCATAAATAGCAACACTAATTCCTTACTGGTAAACTTTTCTTATATATGCTGTTAGTTTTTCTTCTTTAATTTACTTTGAGTACATGGATGAATACTTAGTATTAAAGAAAATAAGTTTTTCCCCATTATAAAAACAAGCATGTAACATTCCGGTGTAACCTACAGCCAGCACATTAAAATGTAAGGACTTTATTTGTTCATACTATTTCCACCATCATCATTTTCCCACATTAAATATTCTGAACAATTCCAGATAAGTGCTGACTAAATCAGTTTAGTTCAAATTAAGTTCATTGTATGGGTCCTAATCTTTAGAGCCCCTTGTTCCTTTTGTTCTATCATCTTCCACACTTTCATGGAAGCATTTCAATTTGCCTTTAATTTCTAACAATACTTTGAATTTCAATTGTGTATCAAATCTTAGAACAAACAGGCCAACTAAAAGAGCATGTATAAAAGAGGTTTATACATGAAAATAATTATGTATTGCAAATATTGGTGGTACCACACCTTTATTAAATCTTCACTATTAAAAGTGAGCTACTTCAAGTAAGTATGCTTCCACATTTCTAAAACTAAGAAAAAAAATGGTGAAAAGCAACATGGTGTATTAATCTTACTCCTAGATTTAAAAATACTACATTCAATTCATAGCAAAATTATGATTTTTGTTTGTATACTCCATCATTTACACATTTAACGTAATATCAAAATTCAGGTTCACTATTGGATTTTTTAAAAGTTACTTTGAGATAGCACATGAGCAAATGACAATTCTTGCTCTCAAATAAACATGAGAAATTGTGAAGAAAGAGTAATTACAGTTTGAAAAGAATATTATGATGTATACATATTTATGTGTAACTATGTAACATAATATATTCTAGAAAAAATTTTGTACTTTAGATTTTCAAAGATGTTTTATGGGAATGAGACAAAGCTCTTTCAGCATTGTGGCGTTTTATCAAATAATTTACAATCATTGGCAAAGATAGAAAAGCAAATTTAAATAAACACAGAGTGAATGAAAATTGCTAAAGACTAAATACTAAATATTTAAACTCAAATCACTGTAATTAGTAATAATGACACAATAATGATGGGGGGAGTTTTACTACATTATATTACCACTGTGGCAACATATCAGATATTCATCATGAAAAGGTATTTATTAATTACATTAAGTTTTAAGCAACTTCAGTACTTAAGATACTGTAAAAATTCTCTTATGGAAAGACATATCTTCCTATCCAGAAAAAAAAAAATGTATTCTCCTTAGCCCACATAGACTCAATGGATTCAATAAAATTCAAAAATTCCTAATTCAATTTCTATTACTAATTTGTAATATTTTCTTTCAGTCTCTATATCAAAGATACATTGTATAAGCACAGATCTGTCATATTAAAAACTGCAGTGATTAAATATTTTTAAAAAACCAATAACTTACCAACTGGTTCCTTTTGATTCTGAAAGAGAATCTTGCTATTACTGCCATCCATGTTTGCCATGTTAATTGTGTTTCCATCTGTCCAGTAGAGTTTCCTTAATTCAAAAAAGATATTGATTTAAAAATATTAGATATAGACTTACTTGTTGACTAGAAACATACACTAAAATCAAGGTTAACATCAAAGTAAATTGTTGGCTCTGGATTAGTTATTTTCAGAAAGGGCCCAATTGTTGAACCACTTGCTGACAGTAACCTAACATATTTGCCTGGAAAGAAAGCACCACTCTTTTTACTGTAATTGAAAGGCAATTATCTCACTTCTGTCTTCCTCTTACATTCACAACTGAATATTTAAGTATGACTACAGTAAATTATTTCCATTTAAAGTAATTCATCAAGATTGAATCCTCTTGGCTTGGATAAATCTGATACTTTAGAAGGGAACAAAGTCATTTCAAACTTCCTCATTGAAAGCGCTGAGGAGAAAAGATTTCTTTTAGTCCTACACAAGCTCTCTATGTAAGTACATGATGACTAGTCAGAGATGGGAAAATTAGGAGCGATCATAATATCAACACCGGTAAATATATCATTACCAGTTTGTGTTTGAAATGAAATCAATGACTTTTCCCTGCATTTTTTAATTCTCAATCATCACTCCCTAAAAACATAAATTAATGAGATCTTACAATAATATATAAAAATCTGATTTTATGCAGATACCAGAAATCTCTAACCAGGGATCTCTTTTACAATTTGCATATATATATATATATATATATATATATATACACATATATATATATATATATATACACACATATACACATTTTTTTTTTACTGTATGGATGGATGATATGTATGTGTCCCCTAAATTAAACAAAGTTTTTATATAAAATCAGAGCAAAGGTGTGTGAATTTTTTGAAAAACTTAAAAAAAAATAATCATACTTTACCCCCTGACTGGGTGAGCTGCAAGACACTGTGGCTTATCGATTCCATGGATAATTGAGGTTTTCAAAGAGCCATCTAGTCGTGCCACATTAATTTGTGTTTCATCAAATTCTGAGCTAATCCAGTATAAATTACGTGAGACCCAATCCACTGCTAGCCCTCTGATACTCTGAATATCTGTAAAACAGGCAAGAGAAAATTAAAAGTAAGTGAAGTTTCTCATTCTTTGGGCTTTCCAAGTGAGTTATTTTCTGTCCCAAGGAAAATTTAATTTACACTTTAATTCGTTAGCTAAAATGGTACAAGACTATAATCTCATTCCTTTATCAGCCCTTCTTAAGGCATGAGTAATCATTAATGTCTTAGTGCTGAGCCATCTGAAAACCTGATGCAACAATTAGCATTGAAATTACACTACCAGTCAATGATTCACCAGTAAGCACTTAGGAGCAGAAACACACAAGAATCCTATGGGCCAAAGTGACCAAAATTCAAATTAGTGTAATAGCTTCTCCGGTTGGTAGCACATCTTTTTAGTTAGAAGGAAGTACTTGTGGGTCTTCAACAAATGTACTATTTTAGGTTTTAAGTGCCAATTTGTTACTGAGTTGAAAAAAAAACAATTCAACTTTCCTAAAAGAATCACCAGACTTGAACATCTTTCAAAACAAACAATTAACAAAAATTGAGGGCGATATGAACAAAGAAAGTAAAATCCTTTTAGCATTCCTCCAACGTGGATTCAACAGAAATTACCGAGATCTAATTAAGTTTCAATTCAATTCATTACAGCCAATATGAATATTTAGGTTGTTATTCCTTGATTATTCAATTAGACATCTTTAAAACATAAAAAAAAGATGGAGTTTAAGCTTAAATACAATTGCACGTCTTAAGTAAAGAAACAAATTACGAGTTAAGAATGATGGATAATAGAAAATATTTTTTTAGCATATTAACATATAAAACAGGCCAGTTTAGTCCCCAATCCATGGCATTCGCTGACTCTACTATGGCTTTACCTTTATTTTACAAAGTTTGGATATTCTCTAGCATACTGTGCCTTCAGAGTTCTCTGGACCAGTGTTACTCAAACTTACAATACACCTGGATTCTCAAGCCGTATGTCTGGGGAGGAGCTTGAGGTCCTGCTCATCCTAACTATTGTATCTCCCAGGTGCTGCTGCCGCTGCTCCCTCCCAATTATCTTTCAATCCAAAAGTCTCCAGAATCCCAGAGCAGCTGCTACTTAGCTCCTCCAATTACTACATCTTACTTTTGCTCATTTTCAAAAGATGCCACAAACCTAGGTTTTCACCTGAAAGTGGAGACTCCAGATTGTGAAGTGTGCCAACTGGTTCAAATTGTAAAAGAGCACAATAAGACACGGCGACCAGGCAGTTCTGAGTCAGCTCTAAAGCGCAGTGCTGGCCTGAGGGGCTCCACCCCACGCTGACGTCCTCCAGTCTCGACCACGCCTACTTTCCTGTTCAACAATGCTTTCATTATTTCTAAATGACTTTTTTATTTTTTTTGGTTTTTTAGCTGAGCCATCCTGCCACCTGTTGGCAGCTCAGCTCAGGCGGGAAATTGAACCAGCCACTCTGTTGCTCAGAGCTTGCGCTCTTGAGCAAGCTCTTAACCAACTGAGCCACTCAGCTGGCCCTCTAAATGATTTTTAATCCTAGTGGCCTTCGGGGAGATTCCTCACGTTTCATTTTCTCTTCTGATCAACATCCGCTCACTTTGCAAGTTACATTTCTTCATTAATTTTGCTGAGACATTGGAGGATTTCCAATGTGAACATTTCTAAACCCCAAACATGAAATTGACTATAATTTTTAGTTATCCTCATCCAATTCCCTCTTTGCTCGAGGAAACAAACAAACAAAAAAAACGTAATGCAACACCTCTGTAAAGATAAACCTGTCATGCGGGATACTTATTTATTGCCTCACCCAGGATACTTTTCCTTCTCATTCACCCTCTGGACTTAGTCCGTTGCTAAGGAACAGTATTGCTGTAATGAGAAGATCTGGCTTCATGTTCTAGGTTGAGTGGCTATTTTTTGTCTGTAATCAAGTCACTTAAATTTTGGCCTCAGTTCTTATTGGGAAAATTAAGCTAATTATAGATAATACATAGGATCGCTGTGAATATTACATTAAATGATGTGTATTTATGCACCTTAGTGCAGCGTGAGGGGTGCTTTGCCAATCTAAGAACTTAGTGCTTTCTGCATTTTTACCCTAGATTGCTAGTTGTTGACAAAAAGAATGAAATTAATTTTTATTTCCTCTAATACATGTTCTCCAAATATTTTTTTTTCTTTCCTTTTGGCTGTCTCTGCTACTCGGAATGCTTTTATTCATTTCTGATTGAGCACTAATCATTTGGCCTAGAAAATACATTGCACTGTTAAACTGGAAACCATAGCCACGTGTAAACTATTAATACCTACTTAGTCCTTGTCAATTGTATGGTTCATAATCTCTCAAATCTACTTCTATTTTTAACATTGCAATAGCATACAGTCTTTCCTTTTCACGCAATTGATTTAGATGCCGCCAGGTCGTTTTTCTGACTAGAGTGTTCTGGATCATGACTTTTGTGTGCCCCAAGGTATTCAATAGCTTCCAACCACTTAGAAAGTGATGTCTAAATTCCTTAGCCTGGCTTTCTATATAATCTGAGTATAACTACCTTCCCAACCTTATTTCTCACTATTTTTAACAATTACTTTACATTTCAGTCATATTGAGGTGTTTTCAGATCCCTGGACTTGTCAGTCCTCTCTAACCTATAAGGAATTATGTGGCCCTCATACCCTATTACAGCTCCACGTGCCTAAACCTTATGAAAGGCCAGTTGATAGGCAACATCATCCTGCAACCACAAAAACCTAATCAACTCTCCCTTAAATCCTGCCAGAAAGATTATCTCTGCCTACCTAATTCAACAGGATTATACCTGGCCAATTCCTTTCCACATAAGGTAGTAATTATTTGCTGGCATATTACTACTTTCATATATATATATATATATATCTTCAGGGCAGGCTCCTTGCTAATTTATCTTTATAGCTCTTTTCCCCAAGTGTGTACAACATTGCCTTCAAAATAAACTTTAATGAACTGATGAATAAATGCATAACATGCACAACTGATAACTTTAAGAATATGTGTAAGCTGAGCTAGAAATATCAGACATAAGGTCCTTAAGTTTACTTTCAGTAGTATGTATCTAAACACATATTCAGGCAATCTCAATTCTCTCTCTCTCTTTAAGTTTTTCCACCAACTAGATTGGATATAGTTCCTAATGATCAGCTTTATGTCTAAAATAAAATATATGTCTTATTTGTAAACCCCCTTTATGTCCAAGTCTGATTGGTTTAGAGTTCCCTGGTAAATTTAACATAAGAATGGTGATGTCATATGTTTAAAAACATTTTTCCTTAATAAAAATATTGAAATATTAAATTATGACTCTTAACTCTTGTGTTCAAATAAGCCAGACCAAGGTCTCTGAACAAGTTTCTCAGAAAGTTCATTTTTGTTTCTATTTCCAGGGACTCTCACTTCTTGAACTAAGGTGGATTAGATATTCTGAAAAGCCCTGCATTGCCATAAAATTCCCTGAAGCATGATAAATTATAAATTTTAAATGCATTGTTGAGATCATAAGACAGACATGAAAATCTCTGGTGCTAAAACATATTCAAACGTTAGCTAAAAACATAAAGGTAGGCAAACGGAAGTACAGAGACTAGTGTAAACATAGGGACACAAACTTGTAATGAAAATCTAGAGATTCAGGATTAGTATTTGTTCAGTTCAAGAGTGTTCAGTCCTTAGACTCACAAAAAGGGAGAGAGCTAGACATGAACTAGTTCAAGAATATCAGAAGGATTTGAATACTCAGTGATTGCTGACTAGGGAAAAATAAATCTGCCTACTTAAAACACAGAATAATTTTAAAATAAAAACAAAACTTAGTTCTCTGTCCTTCCTCTAGGTATAAAAAAAATATTCTAATTCTAATCATAGGTCTATACTCAGGCAAGAGACACCTCATTTATCAATAAGGTATCCACTGGTTAGGTAGGGGTGAAATCAAATTACAGTGAACCCTGGCTTACAGCAACTCATTTTCCCTCCAGTAGAAGCAAATTCAAATCTTTTATGAAAGAGAAACTATTCCTCAGCCCAGGCCCTCACAATTTCCAGATTGAGTTCATGATAGATCAGGACTGAAAATGAAAAAAGAAAACAAACAAACAAACAAACAAAAAACTCACACAAAGAAATGAGACATAAGAGAAAGAGTACAGAGAAAAATAAACAACAGGTTGAAAGCTCCAAAGCCTACATGTTCTGAAATCATTATGTGTACGATAAAGAAAAAAGGGTAGAATATTTCAAAAGAAAATTATACTTTGAAATAATAAGCAAGGTGCATTCATTTATTTTTGCATCCCCATAACATATAAATGAAAAGAAAAAATAACTTGTGAATACTTTTAAAAAATACTAAAATGTTAAAAATCATAATAATTTATTAGATGGATTAACCAGCAGCTTAGACACATTTCAAGTAGTGAACTGCAAGACAAATTGAAGGAATTTAGCCAGAGCCAGCACAGAGAAACAAAAGATGAAGTGAGTTGGAGGTAATAATGAACAGTCTAACACATTTAATCCGAGTTTCTGTAGGAGGAAATGCAAAAACTAGGTTAGAGAAAATGGTCAGGGATAATATTTGAGGGTTTTTCTTTTCTCCCTGAGCTGATGAAAGACATGACCCCATAGAAGGCAGATGCCTCTAGTGGCTAAAATATATATATATATATATATATATATATATATAAATTTCATGAGGGGAAAAAAGAAAATATTAAAGCAGTTAAAGAGAAAAGAAGACACATTACAAAAAAAAGAATAAAAATTAGACAAAATCAGAGATTCTCAAAAGCAATAAGGGATGACAAAAAATAGTGGAAGAATATCTAGAAAGGGTTGAGAGAAAACAACTTTGAACTTGGAATTCATACTCAACGAAATGATCTTTCATATTACAACAACAAAACCCCAAAATGATTTGATTTACAAATGGATGAAGGACTTGGATAGGCAATTATCCAAAGCAGATATAGAAATTGCCAACAAGAACATAAAATGACACTCAGCATCACTAATCATTAGGAAAAGCAAATAAAAGCCACACAGAGATACCACCTCAACCCATTAGGATGGCTACTATTAAAATAATAATAATGAATACCAAGTGTTGAGAAGGATGTGGAGAAATTGGAACAATTGTGTACTATAGCTGAGAATGTGAAATGATGCAGCCTCTGTGGGAAACAGTATGGCAGTTCCTCAAAAAAATTAAAAATCAAATTAACTAATGACCTAGCGATTCCACTCTGAATATATAGTCAAGCATTGCATGGAGACATTGTGGTCATCACAGACCACATATATGAAGGTGGTCCCATAAGATTATAATGGAGCTGAAAAATTCCTATCATCTTGTGACGTTGTAGCTTTAGTGATGTCATAGCCACGGTGGTGTAGTAGCTATCTTAATGTAGGGAC